CTCTCTCGTTTTGTGTGTTTGTGATAGAGAGAGAGAGAGCAGATATAGTGGAAAGTGGAAAACGAGGGAGAAATGTATCAATAAGTCATGACTGCAACAGTAAGTGGCAAAAAAGCTAAACAAAAAAGACTTTTATTTTGGCGTGGTGTGTGACGTCATAAGGCTGCGCCGCTCCTACGCTGGAATTCGACTGGAGAGAGGTTTGTGTTTAAAGCTTTTACCGAAATATAAACTGATTGATTAAAGTTTCAGGATTTTCATCCAATGCTAAATTATGAACCTGCTGTTTACAATATTATTTAACCCTTTATACAACGTAGTACTATTTTACTCACAGTAATGAAGGTCTTTGAATAAGTTAACAGAAATGTGTGTAATACATATTTTAATGACCTTTTAATTTACCTGATTTCTTTTTGTTAATTACTCTCATATAAAGAAACTGTTGAAGAGAAATTATTTTGTTTTGTTTTAAACAGAACATTTTTATTGTTTTGTTCATTTTAAACAGAATAAAGTGTCCAAACACAGAGTAAAACTCCTGCTGAAGTGACTGATCTCCACACTGTTATAAAGATGGCGTTTATTAAAGAGGAGAGTGAAGATGTGAAGATTAAAGAAACATTCACAGTCAAACAGGAAGATTTGCAGGAACAAACAGGTTGGTTTTCATTCTCAAAGACCAACTCAGTCATTTGATCCTCATTCAGATATATTTTAATAATAAGAATACTAAATTAATCCATCTTGCAGTTCTAAATGTGTGCTGCCTAGTTCTCCTTAATTCACATAAGCACTCATTGAAAGACAGGAATGAGTTTCTTTCGTTACTTCTTCTCATGTCTTTTGTCATTCATTTGATGTATTATTAGTCTCCCATTTTCTTTACCTTCTTAAGGTTATTGCTTTTCTTGTTCTCCTACTGTTTGTAAAGTGTCCTTAAGCACCGGCACTATATAAAATAAATAAAAACAATAAATAAATAAAAAAGTTTAACTGAGCTGAGGATATTTGACTTACAGTATTCCCATTGAACAGGGGTGTCCAAAATTCGGCCCGTGGGCCATCTGCGGCCAGCAATCAGTTTTGTGGCGGCCCGCGAGGATTTTTATAAATATTAATAGAATCTGGCCTGCTATACAAAAATAGACATAATTCAATAAATAACCACCGGGTGTCGCTATTACATGCCTTCAATTAGGCATTACTTCTTGTTATGAAGTAAAACTAACCGACCAAATTGAAGGAAACATAATTGATAATCACATTTTGGCGAGCCATGGCGCACCAAGAAAAAGGAAAATCAACAGTCAGTGCAAGAAGTTTCAGTCACGTTGGGGCAAAGAATTTTTCTTCACAGAGGTCAGCGGGAAATGTATCTGTTTAATTTGCCAGGAATAAGTTGCAGTAATGAAAGAATATAATATTAAAAGACATTATGAAACAAAGCATCAGGCCTTCAGCTCTTACACTGGTGCAGTATGAGATCAGAAAGTAAAACAATTAGCAGCGCCCTATCAGCTCAACAACAGCAGTTTTTTGTGCTATTAAAGTGCAAGAAAATTCTACACTGCACTGCAAAAAATGTTTTTTTTTATTTATATTTTTTGTCTTGTTTCAAGTCCAAATATCTAAAAAATCTTAAATAAAGGAGAATTTTCTAATTTGTTTTGAGAAATAATATGCCAATATTAAGTGAGTTTTTCCTTAAAACAAGCTAAAATAATCTGCCAATGGGGTAAGCAAAATAATCTTGTTTTTCCTTTTGACATAAGATTATTTTGCTTACCCCATTGGCAGATTAATTTGCTTGTTTTAAGGAAAAAATTGCATATTAAGGAAAATATTAGCATTTTATTTCTTAAAACAAGACAATTTTTTTTGAGATTTTTTAGATTTTTGGACTCAAAACAAGACAACAAAACATCTAAGTTAGAAAAGCATTTTTTGCAGTTTGGCTAGTTATGAGGTACCTCAGCTGATCGCACAGAACAGGAAACCCTTCACTGAAGGAGAATTTATAAAGGATGAGTGTTGCAACTGTAATTTGCCCAGAGAAGATTCAAGTTTTTTGAAAACTTAAGTCTTTCTAGAAACACAGTTGGACAACCAAAATAAAATAATTTCTTAATAAAATACACGCACACATCCATCCATCCATCCATATATATATAAATGTATATATATATATATATATATATATATATATATATATATATATATATATATATATATATATATATATATATATATATATATGCGTGTCTGTGTGATGTATGTAAAATTTGGCCCGGGACAACTTTTTTTTTTTGCATCTGGCCCTCGGCCCAAAAAGTTTGGACACCCCTGCCATAGAAGATATCTGCTATTACAGTGAGGGTGTTGGCTTAGTACTTTCCATTTGCATATGTCACGTTGATCACAATTCCCCTTTTTTCGATCAACTTTAAGGGTTTAAAGTTGTTTCTAGAAGTTGTTGCTAGTTCTCACAGATAGTATTTGAGTTAGAAGTACATCATTATTATAATAATTACCAGGACTATTCTTAACAGGGTTTCCGCTGGGTCTTAAAATGTTGTAAATTCCAAAATCTAAATTTCAGGCTTTAAAAAGTCCTAAATTTACTGAAATATTGTGTTGTAGGTCCTAAATCTTTTTAAACAAGTCTTCATTTTCCTTTGTTCATGTTTTGCTACCCAATCTGGCCAAAACCCATACAATCACCAACAATCCATCTCAATAAAACTTTCCACTTTATATTCAAAAAGGTCATTTTAACTCCATTTATCATAATGGTTTATTTATTTACTAATGCACTATGCACTAATTTGAAATCTGCTGAATGAAATGGACACTAAAGTAATTAATTATTATAAAACATTGTACAGTATTCTAAACTATATGATGTTGCTGTGGGACGACATGAGGGAAAAAAAACAAATTATAGTGGAACAATAACATTTAGCATTGCACTGACTTCAAGTGGCCAACAAACTAGTCTAAAAATGACTTTTGCTGATTAAGAAATGGATTACAGCATGCTGATGATATGCAAAAAATTGTTAACCCTGGGTCATTCTAACTCTGGGTCATTCTAAGGGTGCTTTCACACCTACACTTTTGTTTTGGAACGTATCTCGTTTGCCCAGTTAGCTCCGAGATTGCTTGAATGAGGTGGTCTCGGCTCGATTGAAACGAACCCTGGAGCGGTTCGATTGCAGTGAGAAAGCGATCCGATCCGAGCGCAGTTATATCACAGTGTTTTATGGATATGTAATAGGCTTACGGCTATATGAAGAGAGAGTTATGAGTAGGGCGGGAAGTTTCGCGAGTCTCCGGATGCCCGCAAATGAGTGATGATCTCCCGGTAATCTTGCGTCTCCCTCCCGGTCCTCAAATAGGCATCGTCACGCACCCTTCTCACCTCTCCTCACTGCATCTCTCCTCAGACACGTCACGCGTGCGCACCCTGTTAATCACCACCAAACCACCACCTCTCCTGACAGCTTAGCGGGACGCTGCAAAATAAACCCTGACACTGACCAAGGAGAGTTTACTCGCACGTGACTTGTTTTAGCTCTTTTGGTCCGTTTAGAAACTATGCAGTGTGAAAGCGAACCGCTCCAAGAGCAAAGAGCAACAATGTAACATTTGTAATCTCTGTTTCGGGACAACTGAATCTATTCACAGGTGTGAAAGCACCCTAACTCTGGATAAACAGAATCCTGACCACCGTAAAACAGGAAGAAAAAGAAATTGTCTTTCTCGCCTCATTATGGATTTAGTTTCATCGGCTAGACACCGGCCTCACAGCTCCGTGAATGTCAGTACTGTCACTTATTGTTCTGCGATCTGTAAATGTAGCCTGTGTGAACGCTACTTGACTAAAATAATAGCTTTGCTACACAAAAGCTATTTAATTTAAAAAGTAGTGACACTACCACCACACTACTGAGAAATGTAGATAAGCTAGTAGCGTCACTACTTGCAGCGACGCTACTGCCCAACACTGTGTGATGGCAATATTTCTAATGTAGAAATGTCTTCATTACTGATAGCCAAAGCTGTTTCAGTAACCAAAGAGGTCTCCAGTGTACAGAACTGCACAATAGGTGATTGGTGCTGATGAGCAGTACTACACACGGTGTGTTTGGCACCCCTCATATAGTAATCCAGGGCCGTAACACCCATCGGTACCACGGGTACTCTGATTAGGTTTTGCATATAAATACTTGGGCTTGACACATTTGTTTCAGCTTATTATTTGCCTATTACAGTCTAAATGATGTAAATTCTAGTACATAATTTTTTAACTGTACCTTTAGAACCTTATAACAGCAATAAAAGCAGCATCGAAGCAGTCTTCTTTTAGTCATTCCACCTCTTCACGGAGACTGTCAGACTGATCTGGTGTATTAAAAAACTATTGTGGGTTCTGGAACTGAACAATAATAGTGTTCATGATGCTGGACATTCACTGGCACTAGATCCTCATCAATTTAAGAGTAAATCTCCCTTCTTTGCCATCCTCTGATGCGTTTAGGTTTCGCCGCAAAATTAAATTTTTGCTGTAGAACGCGCAATGCGGACATAAAGAACCTGACTGATATTCTACCGGAACCATGTCAGCAGAGTTCATGCATATCCATAAACTATAACTTCTATGTTAAACGGTTTTGAAACAATTTACATTGTAAAAGCACTAGATAAATAAAGATTAATTAAATTGAATCTGCTTAAATGTGTACACGTTAATGGACCAAACACAGTATGATTTGATTTATTTTACATTTACTGTGCATCAAAATTACAGTGTGTGTAGCCAATGTTTCCAGTGTCTTTTCACTTTTCAGCTTTTGATGAGAGTTTTTAAGACTTGATAACAACTAGTGTTTTTTTTCAGACCTAATTGAAGAGAATGAGGAGAGTAAAGAGGAGGAACATCATGTCAAAATTGAGGAAAAAACTATTTTACAGACTGATGGTATTTTGAAAAGGAGAGACAAGAATCATTTCACCTGCACTCAGTGTGGAAAGAGTTTTGGAAGAAAACACAATCTTAAGATTCACATGAGGATCCACACTGGAGAGAAACCATTCACATGCACTCAGTGTGGGAAGAGTTTCAACCAATCATCAAACCTTTATAATCACATGATGATCCACACTGGAGAGAAACCATTCACATGCTCTCAATGTGGGAAAAGTTTTAACCGCTCATCAGACCTTCATCAACATATGAGGATGATTCACACTGGAGAGAAACCATACACATGCACTCAGTGTGGGAAGAGTTTTTACTGCTCATCACACCTTCATCAACACATGAGGATCCACACTGGAGAGAAACCATTCACATGCACTCAGTGTGGGAAGAGTTTCAGCCAATCATCACACTTTAAGCAACACATGAGGATCCACACTGAAGAGAAACCATTCACATGCACTCAGTGTGGGAAGAGTTTCAGCCAATAATCAAACCTTAATTGACACATGAGGATACACACTGGAGAGAAACCATTCACATGCACTCAGTGTGGGAAGAGTTTCAGCCAGTCATCACACCTTAATCAACACATCATGAGCCACACTGGAGAGAAACCATTCATGTCTAATCATCTTGTTTAATCCCGCCCCTTTTCGCAGTGCCATACAACAGAATTTCGCATACTCAATAGTGATGGGAAGTTCGGATCATTTTACTGACTCGGATCTTTGAGTCTCGTTCATCGAGATGAACAAATCTTTTTTCGAGTCATTTTGTTCATTTGGTTCAATTTGTCAAAATATTATTAAAATGTTACGAATTGCTTCCAAACACATCTACAACTAGCCCAGAAGGTTCATCACACGACAAATAAGTCATAAATAAATTATAAGAAGAAGAAAATAATAATTCAATGTTTACCTGCTCTTTTGTCTATAGGCATTGTTGTCTGTTTGCTCAGCTCACCTCTTCATGTCTTCAAATGTCAGTGGTGCGTTCAGGTTACACTGACAGTCACATATAATCTTAACCAATGTAAACAGTCTGAGCCGATAGGAGCCATGATAATTAGTTCACCTTTCGAGTCTTCTGGTTGTTGAGTCGTTCGTTCATCACATGACAGAATAACTCAAACCGGAGGACTCGAGAGTTGAATAGATCAATTCTTTTTTTTTTTTGGCTCTAAACTCATATGATTGGCCCGTGATGAATGAATGATTCAAACCCGAGGACTCGAGAGGTTAACAGATCAATTCTTTTTCTGGCTCTAAATGCATATGATTGGCATATAAATGCATATGTTAGGCTGTAGTCTTTCATGTGGTGAACAAACGACTCGATAGAGGACTCGAAAAATGAACTAATCTTGTCTCGCACTACACATCGTGCACATGAGAGAATTAATAAATCTTTTAGTTCATCCGAGTCATTCATTCATTTTGTCACATAACATGAAAGAAAGCATAAGAGATGAGTTATTTAATAAATCAAATAGTCTTTGTGAATAGTTTTGTAACATATGATGCTGCCAGCATTAGACACTTAAACACTGTTTATGTGTTGTTTATTGTTTTATTATTATTATTATTTTACCAGAAAAGCTTTTATAACAAATCCGATTACTTTATAAATCACGACAATAAAATAAGCAAAAGAAAAACAAAATAGTGCACATCAAGCTAGGCTTTTTAATAAATAAAAACAAGTAAGCTTTAAATTAAATAACACGTTTGTGCCATTAAAGCTTTATATCAAATATGACAACTCTTCCCAGTAGATGTTTTTATGAAACAGCAATTTAAGTGAAAGATATTATAAATAAAAAACAAAAGCCACAGAGCCTAATGAGCTTAACAAATTGGCTTGAGAATACAACAGTGCATTTTTAAAAAAAAATTAAAATTAAATAAGCTTTAAAACAACACTGTGTGGCTTTACTTGTTGGACTTGGCTTAAGGTTTGTTAGCATTTAAAAACACAAGCTCTGAACCTTTAATAGGCTGAGTCTGTTTCATCTTGTGTCATTAGTTGTTGGTCGCAGGATAAAAGATGCTAAATGAGTAAATGTAAATGCAAACTTTATACAAATATTAGACCAACACATAAAGTCTGCATAGAAAAACATTATTAAACAAAAAATGGGGTATAAATGAACAAATTACAAATCACTTGTAATTGTAGAATTTATTAATTTATAACCTAGCTTAGTGTTTGTTTTCTGATAGCAAGCCAGCAAATAGACAAATCAATATATATATATATATATATATATATATATATATATATATATATATATATACTAGATATAAACCACATATCCAGTAGAAAAAAAGTAACAATAACTTAGTGACAATAGGACAGAACTTTTTTTAATTTTTTAGAAAATGCTTTTTAGGTACACATTGTTTGATGATTTTATAAAAAGTTTAAAATATAATCATATGATGCAACAAAAATTCAGTTTTACATAAATATTATTGACTGAGGTTCTCGTTGCTGTGTACAGTGGAACTACAGTTTAAGATCAGATATGCACATAATATTGTAAGGATGGCTATATCTCTCCATAATATTCAAATCTGCAAACTGTTATGGAACTCCACACGAGACAAGACCGTGAGAATAGTAAGGCACTAAAACAATAAACTTTCCAATGTGAGAAGAAGATCAGCTGGAAAACCAGTTGTTCAGGTTGTCTCGATCGTGCATCCTGAGCCCCCCTCTTTGCCCTGGACTTTACCTTCTCCACCAGAGCAGCTCACTCACATTCCACACAGAATGTTTAAATTTTTAATATGGTGCATCTTGGGGCTTTTTATTCATGTTTGGTGTGATTTTAAATGTCTCTGTGTGATTGTTAAAGTGGCCTTAATTTCACTGTAATATTTTACAATCTCCTTTATATTAGTTAATTTGGGTTTTGACTTTGAAAAGATCTTTGCCAGATGCTCCACTCCAGGCAAAATGGTCTTCGCATCAACTCATGACCAGGCAAGAGTCTTGGTGAAGCTTTTATTGTCTTGAATAAATGTATTTCTACATGGTCAGGTATTCCTCTTTAACTCTTAAATGTATCTTTGAGTAAATTATGTTGTACAATCTTGATTGGCTTATTTTGTTTAATTATGTGAACTGCAATGGAAAATCTTTTCCTGACAAATAAATGTAAAATTCTTGTTTAACTCTAATTTCTCCTGAAATCATTTAAATCTAGTAGATTGTTTAGGCTGATGTTTCCGCAGCCTACGACGAGAATTAGTCATATATTCAGGCGCAATAGATAGAGCATAGGCACAGCAGTAGAGACTTGTTTATTTCTGACAATCACTGATGATATAATCTAGGGGCTAAATCAAACTTTCTTTAAGTATGTGCAAGCATGGGGCGGCCTATTATTACTTAAAGAAAATTAGCATATCTGCTAAGAATCGGAACTGGGGAAGATATGTCCGTGAGCAGATGAAACTGGCCAGCATACTGACTCTAAGCGACTTGAAGTGAACGATGAAACATTAATGGAATATAAGGATTTATTAGATTAAACAATCTAAATTAGACCTAATCACGACCTATAAGGTAATCAGCTTGAATTAGATGAATCTAAATCTAAAATTATTATAAACTGGAGTCAGATTAAAATTCAGAGCTAGAAACCAATTTAAATAAATTATAACGTACAAAAAATATTTGTTTTCACATGTGCTAAAAGGTTTACACGCATTTAACCTTCACCCTTGCTGTTAGTTCCGTCATGGGACTAATAGATGGACTCTTACATGAGTATTTATATAGTTTATAACCATAATAGTTCTACAGTTTCTTCTATTTCACTTGTTGTTGGTTTCTATTTTATTGCGCATTTTATTTCAATAGTGTATTTATTTTGTTAAAGAGCACATATTATGAGTTTTTGAAAATGCCCTTCCATGTAGTGTTTAACAGCTCTAAGTGAAGTGAAATATGCAGCTAAGGCTTATATCTGTAAGTGTACAGTGTTTAAAACTGTTGATTCATCTATAACAGAGTCGACTCATAGTGCTTCAAATGAGTCGTCTTGATAATGAGTCATTAGGTGTTTTGTGATGACGTATCTATGAAACACAAGTAGTTGCGTGCGCAAACCCGGGAGATTTGAAACCTGCGGCCTTACCCACTAACACAGAAAAAAGCCACACACACACAAGCACTCCGGTCGAATGTGACGTCACATTGTGCAGATGGATATTATTGAGTCTCTACCCAAAGATGAAACCTCAGCATTAGCCCAGCCTTGAGCAGTTTGATTGCTTCTGGAAACTACATGCTTTAGACTGGGTGTATATTACATGCCTAATAATCAATTTTTAGACTGTGTGTGTGTGTGTGTGTGTGTGTGTGTGTGTGTGTGTAGGCCTATTATTATTTAAAATAACAATTTAAAATAAAATTGATTATATTATGTAAAAAATATTATTCTTTATAATTATATCCAGTTCCCCTAAAACTTGCTTAAATACCATATACATTTATTAAATAAATAAAACCAAAAAGCTGACAAGACGTGGAGCAACCATGACCAGAGCGTTCCAGAGAGAAGGTGTCTCAAAATGCAGTGGCCCAGCTCGCTGCAATTGCAGAGCTGTACTTTGCTAACAGGGAGCAATTTAACAGAATCAGCTTCACACCAGGAAAAATAACAGAGTTCGCTCAAAAGTGTAGAGAGCTCATTTTTTGGAGATTTTTGCATAAAGAATGTATCAATGAAAGGGAAGGGTTCACTTTTGTCTTTCTATCTGAATAAGTGATTAGAGTAGATTTGCTTTGTCACTTATTGTTAAGGCCATGTTTTTTGTATGTTTCTTTGTTCAATAATGCTCCTGTTTACTGTTGCTAAAATGTAGAAGCAAAAACCTACAGCACAATAAGCTTAGCTTATACAGTTGAAGTCAGAATTATTAGCCCCCTTTTGATTTTCTTTCCCTTTTTTAAATATTTCCCAAATGATGTTTAACAGAGCAAGAAAATTTTCACAGCATGTCTGATAATATTTTTTCTTCTGGAGAAAGTATTATTTGTTTTATTATGGCAAGAATAAAAGCAGGTTAAAAATTTTTTAAAGCCATTTTTGGGACAAAATTATTAGCCTCTTTAAGCTATTTTTTTTTCGATAGTCTTCAGAACAAACCATCATTATACAATAACTTGCCTAATTACCCTAACCTGCCTAGTTCACCCTATTAACTTAGTTAAGCCTTTAAATGTCACTTTACGCTGTATAGAAGTGTCTTGAAGAGTATCAAGTAAAATATTATTTACTGTCATTATGGCAAAGATAAAATAAATAAGTTATTAGAAATGGGTTTTTAAAACTATTATGCTTGGAAATGTGCTGAAACAATCTCCCCTCCATTAAACAGAAATTGGGGGGAAAAAATGAACAGGGGTGCTAATAATACAGGGCGGCTAATAATTCTGACTTCAACTGTAATGCCAAAGGAAAAAAAAAATATTGACATCGGATGCAAATTTTTAAAATTCCGACTAAAATAATTAATTTTCTTTTCAGCTTAATCCCTTTATTAATCTGGGGTTGCCACAATGGAATGAACCACCAGCTTATCCAGCAACATCCATGTTTTACACAGCAGATGCCCTTCCAGCTGCAATGCACCACTGAGAAACATCCAAGCACACACATATTTGAGCCTACTCAATTTACCTGTACCACATGTCTTTGGACTTGTGGAGGGAACCGGAGCACCCAGAGGACACCCACGCGAACACAGGGAGAACATGCAAACTCCACACAGAAATCCCGCCTGACCTAGCTGAGGGTCGAACCAACGACCTTCTTACTGTGAGGTGAACATTCTACCCTCTGCGCCACCACATTGCCCACCATTTGAATTGTTTTTCTAAAATTAGTTTTTTTTTCAGCCTACTGTTTGAAAGATAATGAAAAAATATTTGCCACAAAAAAGTTTAATTGCAGAACTGAGACTTAAAAAAATATTCATTTTAGAAAAAAAAATGTATATGGTGGCTGCATGGTGGTGAAGTGGGTAGCATGTTTGCCTCACAGCAAGGAGGTCACTAGTTTGAGCCTCGGCTGGGTCAGTTGGTGTTTCTGTGCTGATCATCTCCCGATGTTTGTGTGGGTTTCCTCTGGGTGCTCTGGTTTCCCTGACAAGTCCAAAAACGTGTGGTACAGGGGAATTGGGTAGGCTAATTTGTATGTAGTGTATGAGTGTGTGAATGAGTGTATATGGTTGTTTTCCAGTGATGGGTTGCAGCTGGAAGGGCATCTGCTGCATAAAACATATGCTGAATATGTTGGTAGTTCATTCTGCTTTGGCGACCCCTGATTAATAAAGGGACTAAGCTGAAAAAAATGAATGAATAAATGTTATATGGCAATTAAAGGTTTTGCATCTGAACTCTTCAAATGTAACAATTGTTTTTAGTTGTCCTGAAGTAAATGTTTTCCTCGGCTTAATTATCTGGGTTGTTTATTTTGTTTTTTGACAGCAATACATTAAAAGCAGTTGGACGAACTAATGACTCTGGTATTTATTTTATGTTCTTGTATGTGTGGTGCTGTTGTGTCTGTCTTCAAATACTTGCATCAGTGTTGCTACTACCTGTCTGTTGACTATCTGCTGAACATTTACAGAATAGTAACCATGCTGTCTGTGATGTTGGCTCCTTACAGTCATTCACCAGCATTTCTTAATTTTTCACTTCATATTGATGGGCCTAGTGTGACAACAGATGAGCAGATAAATGTAACTTAAAGTAAACTAACTGTCTACTGAAAGTTGGGTTAAATGTAACGAATAGTTAGTTGAAGACTTTTGCAAATGCATGTATGAAATTTTTACCTAACCCTAACTTTATATTTGTTTAAAGTTCATTTTAAATTATGTTGTGTTGCTTCTTATAGGCATCTGAATGTTTACTAAAAGTCTAATGATAAGCTGATTAATAACTACATGCAGACAACAAAAAAATCTTGATGGTAAATGTTCTGAAAACTTGTTTAAGATTTGTTGCATATCTACTAATACACTGTAATACACTACAACCTAATTTGGTAGCATGTAACTTATCAAAAGTTTAATAAAAGTTGAGGATTTGTTGCATATCTACTAATAATCTTTTGAACATCTGTTGAAGATTTGTTAAATATCTACTGGTAGATTGTTGACCATCTAGAACTTATATTGGTAACACAACTTACCAAAAGTTTAATAAATGTTTACGTGTTGTAAAAATCGTAATGATTGCCTAGAAACATTTCAAAGACAATCTACAGATACTACCCAGATGAGAGTAAACAGATAAGAACTTGAAAAGTAACTTATGGTCAACAGACTATCTAAAGGGATCATCAAAATAAAGTTAAAGTAAATCCTTACAGAACTGACAAACTGTATAAACAGTAAACTTTGTAACAGTTTTAGCATATATAGAGCTAAACTATCGGAAAATATACAGTCAGTGTTCTCAGTCATTTACCTTCTGTGTTCCAGTTTTTTGTCCTGCACAGCGGAGTGAAATATTAGTCTGGATTTCAGTGTCAGAGGTCACCTGTTTAGATGAACAACACAATATAAACACACGTAAATCCTTGCAGAATATGGTATTTTTTAAAGATTTAAGTTTATTTTGTCTTAATCATATATAACCAATAATTTTTAAGAAAACAACTTTAATCTCTGCATACCTTGTTCCTCTATGGCCATTCTGAAACATCATAGTTATAAGTGATCTCTTGTCCTGGACTGATGTCCTTTGTTGTGAATAAGCACAAATGGGGTTTTCTATCAACATTGATTATTTTCATTTTGCTGTTTGGGTTTATATGATTGTCATTAATAAGTGTACCCAACGAGCCATCTTCTCTTGCAGCATCAACCCTGAATCACAGAAAACAATGCCACCTCAAGTAATTACAGTATTTACTAAATTACACAGTAAGTAATTGCAGATCAGAAAAATGATCAAGTTTTGGAAAAGACAAGTTCCTTTATATATATATATATATATATATATATATATATATATATATATATATATATATATGGAAAATACAGAAACATAAATGTTAGCAAATTTAATAAAGCAATATACATACCATAACTGTCTTCCATTAAAAAGGATTTGAAACAAAAACACTTCAAGTGCATTATGATAAAGTCTGCGTCTTCTTTCACATTCTTCTTTGGTTATTATGTCTCCTCTATATTCAACTAGAAAATCTCCTTTTCTATAGTGGCTAGAGCTGAATACTCCCCGACCTAGCAAATGATTTTTCAGATTAGTCATGAAAAAGAACAATTCTTGGAGATCCCTGACGTAAACAGACTTTTTTTTTTCTTACCTTTGAATAAGTTTATGTATTTTATTTCAAATCCAGTTTTATCTTTTGAAGTCGAAGCATAGTACACTGCTTCATCCTTTGGTTTCAGTTTGAGTCTCTGGGACCTTGCTGTCACCATTTGTCAATGCACCAATGTCACTGTACATCAATGCATTTTTGTATTTTTTTTTTATCATATTTAGTTTTTTTTTTTTTCAAAGGGTACACATGTTAAAGATTGTGCTTGGTCTGTAATATGCATGTCAGTACACATGTAAGTTACTTAAAATTATTTGTTTGCTTTTTCTTTGTCAGTGAAATGTCTAGATATGGCAAATACACACAGACTACATATTTAATAGGATGAAACATCTGTATACACGTTACCTTTACAGAAATATTCATATGTGCAAAATACAAATGTGAAATGTGTGCTTCTGGAACACTTTTGTGTGAATCCCATGTTAATTCAGGCCAAAACCACCAAAGGTGTTTTGGAACCACATTTCACATTTAGATTTACCATATGTGAATGTCTTGTGACCATTTTGTAAGTGTAAGCAACATTATTCATAAATAGAATTAAAATGAGGACTAAATAAAACGATTAAACTACTTCATCAGCACGTGATATGAAAAATACAGTTAACATACAGTTATGAAAACATATTTGTCTTGTATCTTGGGTGCAGTAAAAACTTCTAATAACAAGTTAGACCATAACGTGTAACTTATCATTACATAACTTTAGTGATATCAATCTGACAATAACGTTATGACTTGATTAGCAAATACTCATCTTACTAAATTAATAAGCACACTATAAACGATTACATGCAACGCATCTGTTACTTTGGTAAAGCATGACGACAATGCAAACATAAACGTAATTCTAAAACAATAAATCATTTTAAAAATGATAGTTCATCATTCTTGACAAGAAATGAAAAGTACGCTAACTTACAAGGTTTTATTAACGGTTACTTGGTTTACTCGCTGTTAAGTTTAGTCAAATAATGCACATTAATCGTGTAATGTTAGTACACTTATCTGGGTGGTTATTTAACAGTCTTACCTTAAAGGTCTTGAAACTGATGATTGACACCCATGTGTCATCGGATCTTCCAACAAAAAATCGCTTGAGTTCTGTGGCTATAAATTTCCATAAATTAATTCACATTTAATCAATCGTCGAATAAACAAGCTCCGTGCTTCTTTGTCCTGTCTTCAAACGATGAGAGATATCCATCTGTCCAGCGCGGAATTGATTGAGTCAGGTGGTCGCGATTGGCCAATAACAGGCATTTATTTCTTTATTGATCCTATAAAGGTAGTGGGTGATTTTTATTATTTAATTAGAACGTAATTCATATTTATACATATTTAAAACTATTTTTAATTATTATTGTTTACACAGATGTTTGACAGATACAGTTATTATGAGGACGTTTGGTGGTCAGCCAATCACATGCCGCGATTTCATACACTCGCATACATAATTAATGAGGGGATGCAGTACCCAGTCCGGGCTACAAGGGTGCATGTCGAATACACACGTAATACACAAAGTCAGGTTTATGTGAACTATAAAGTCATGTGGAGAAATTTTGGATTTGAGCTCTTCTACATTAAAGAAGCACTTCTACATTGCTAAAATTATGAGGACTCCGACCATGTCCTCATAATTGAAAATGTCCTCATAATGTGGCGTGTATTCATATGAAATGTTTTCGTAAATCACATAAACCAACACACACACACACACACACACACACACACACACACACAGCCCAAATACTCAAAAGAAATATGCAACATCAAAATACCACAATCAGAATACCACAATAATGCTAAACGTTACTTTTAAAGCTTTTTAGTACGTTTTTATGCATATATGCTACTTCAGGAGCAAGAAATGAAATACTTATCATCCGGTTACATCCTTACAATCGATGGCATTAACAACAACACGGCATATATGATGGTATTTACAAACAACAAAATGCTACAAAAACAATCACGGGAAACTGTGTAAAAAAAAAAAAAAAAGCATGAGACTCTTAATCTCAGGGTCGTGGGTTCGAGCCCCACGTTGGGCGTTTCTGTTGCCTCTCTCTCTCAGCAAACTTTCATTAGGGTTCATATAGCGGACCTTTTGAAACAAAGTTCCGCGTTTCTACCACTGTAGGTGACCTCTTACTAAGTCTCTGTGGCGCAATCGGTTAGCGCCTTCGGCTGTTAACTGAAAGGTAGGTGGTTCAAGCTCACCCAGGGACAAATTAGGTGTTTTGCTGCCTTGCAACTGCTAACACGTGCACTGGGCATATATCCTGGGCCACATTCTGTCCAGCGTTACAAGATGAAATCAGGATTTAGTAGAAGAATGTCACGGGTAGGGAAGGTATCACTGTAAACATTGTCTAGCTCTTGAAAAAGATTGTCATCAACCTGGCTAGCTCAGTCGGTAGAGCATGAGACTCTTAATCTCAGGGCTGTGGGTTCGAGCCCCACGTTGGGCGTTTCTCTTACTTTTCTCTCTCTCTCTCAGCAAATTTACATTAGGGTTCATATAGCAGACCTTTTGAGACAAAGTTCCGCCTTTCTACCACTGTAGGTGACTTTTCCTTAAGTCTCTGTGGCGCAATAGGTTAGCGCGTTCGGCTATTAACTAAAAGATTGGTGGTTCAAGCTCACCCAGGGACGTATTAGGCATTTTGCTGCCTTGCAACTGCTAACACGTGCACTGGGCATATATCCTGGGCCACATTCTGTCCAGCGTTACAAGATGAAATCAGGATTTAGCAGAAGATAGTCACGGGTAGGGAAGGTATTACTGTAAACAGTGTCTAGCTCTTGAATGAGTTTCTCATCAGCCTGGATAGCTCAGTCGGAAGAGCATGAGACTCTTAATCTCAGGGTCGTGAGTTCGAGCCCCACGTTGGGCGTTTCTCTTACTTTTCTCTCTCTCAGCAAACTTACATTAGGGTTCATATAGCAGACCTTTTGAGACAGAGTTCCGCCTTTCCACCACTGTAGGTGACTTTTCCTTAAGTCTCTGTGGCGCAATAGGTTAGCGCGTTCGGCTATTAACTGAAAGATTGGTGGTTCAAGCTCACCCAGGGACGTATTAGGCATTTTGCTGCCTTGCAACTGCTAACAAGTGCACTGGGCATATATCCTGGGCCACATTCTGTCCAGTGTTACAAGATGAAATCAGGATTTAGCAGAGGATTGTCACGGGTAGGGAAGGTATCACTGTAAACGGTGTCTAACTCTTCAAATGACTTCTCATCAGCTCGGCTAGCTCAGTCGGTAGAGCATGAGACTCTTAATCTCAGGGTTGTGGGTTAGATCCCCACGTTGGGCATTTCTGTTGCCTCTCTCTCAGCAAACTTTAATTAGGGTTCATATAGCAGACCTTTTAAAACAAAGTTCCGCCTTTCTACCACTGTAGGTGACCTTTCCCTAAGTCTCTGTGGCGCAATCGGTAAGCGCGTTCGGCTGTTAACTGAAAGGTTGGTGATTGTTGACTAAGTCTCTGTGGCATAATAGGTTAGCGCCTTCAGCTGTTAACTGAAAGATTGGTGGTTCAAGCTCACCCAAGGACAAATGAGGTGTTTTGCTGCCTTGCAACTGCTAACACGTGCACTGGGCATATATCCTGGGCCACATTCTGTCCAGCGTTACAAGATGAAATCAGGATTTAGTAGAAGAATGTCACGGGTAGGGAAGGTATCACTGTAAACGTTGTCTAGCTCTTGAAAAAGATTGTCATCAGCCCGGCTAGCTCAGTCGGTAGCGCATGAGACTCTTAATCTCAGGACTGTGGGTTCGAGCCCCACGTTGGGCGTTTCTCTTACTTTTCTCTCTCTCTCTCAGCAAATTTACATTAGGGTTCATATAGCAGACCTTTCGAGACAAAGTTCCGCCTTTCTACCACTGTAGGTGACTTTTCCTTAAGTCTCTGTGGCGCAATAGGTTAGCGCGTTCGGCTATTAACTGAAAGATTGGTGGTTCAAGCTCACCCAGGGACGTATTAGGCATTTTGCTGCTTTGCAACTGCTAACAAGTGCACTGGGCATATATCCTGGGCCACATTCTGTCCAGCGTTACAAGATGAAATCAGGATTTAGCAGAAGATTGTCACGGGTAGGGAAGGTAACACTGTAAACGGTGTCTAACTCTTCGAATGACTTCTCATCAGCTCGGCTAGCTCAGTCGGTAGAGCATGAGACTCTTAATCTCAGGGTTGTGGGTTAGATCCCCACGTTGGGCACTTCTGTTGCCTCTCTCGTAGCAAACTTTCATTAGGGTTCATATAGCAGACCTTTTAAAACAAAGTTCCGCCTTTCTACCACTGTAGGTGACCTTTCCCCAAGTCTCTGTGGCGCAATCGGTAAGCGCATTCGGCTGTTAACTGAAAGGTTGGTGATCGTTAACTAAGTCTCTGGCACAATAGGTTAGTGCCTTCAGCTGTTAACTGAAAGATTGGTGGTTCAAGCTCACCCAGGGACAAATTAGGTGTTTTGCTGCCTTGCAACTGCTAACACGTGCACTGGGCATATATCCTGGGCCACATTCTGTCCAGCGTTACAAGATGAAATCAGGATTTAGCAGAAGATTGTCACGGGTGGGGAAGGTATTACTGTAAACAGTGTCTAGCTCTTGAAAGAGTTTTCATCAGCCCCGATAGCTCAGTCGGTAGAGCATGAGGCTCTTAATCTCAGGGCCGTGGGTTCGAGCCCTACGTTGGGCGTTTCTCTTACTTTCTCTCTCTCAGCAAACTTACATTAGGGTTCATATAGCAGACCTTTTGAGACAGAGTTCCGCCTTTCTACCACTGTAGGTGACTTTACCTTAAGTCTCTGGCACAATAGGTTAGTGCCTTCAGCTGTTAACTGAAAGATTGGTGGTTCAAGCTCACCCAGGGACAAATTAGGTGTTTTGCTGCCTTGCAACTGCTAACACGTGCACTGGGCATATATCCTGGGCCACATTCTGTCCAGTGTTACAAGATGAAATCAGGATTTAGCAGAAGATTGTCACGGGTAGGGAAGGTATTACTGTAAACAGTGTCTAGCTCTTGAAAGAGTTTTCATCAGCCCCGATAGCTCAGTCGGTAGAGCATGAGGCTCTTAATCTCAGGGCC